AAAAATAAGGAAAAATTCATAATGAACGTGGACTGGTATTTTGCTTTTACGATTTATCATTTTCTTTTTATGTACATTTTTAACGTTGTTTTAACAGCCAAGGTAGCAATTTCTGTTCTGCATTTCAAGCACTGCTTTACAACAGTCGTCCAAAATGGCGTTCATTGGTGGATGCGCGTTTCCGAGTACATATCCCTGAATCTCGATCAACATTTAACTCCTACATGATATAGTATTACTGTAACCAACCATAATTTTTATTTCTACTGCAAAATTGTCTCGAACAACCAATAATCGAAAAGCGTATTTCAATAATGTAGATCCAGGAATCCATATTTATACAAATTTCTATCAACTTCGCGACGATCTGTGAGCTCGATCCTGTAAAAGGGTACAGTTTGAAACAACCTTCGAGCTGACCGGTCAATATATTCTGTTAAACGAGGTTTGACGAAACTGTCCGGCATCGTACAATAACAATAAACGCAGGACCAAGAATTAATGGTCGTAATCATAGCTCGAAAGGTCTCTAAAATTCCATTTACTGACCTATCCGAAACTTTTAAGAAGGATGCGATTTTAAATACAGTTAAAATAATAAAAGATCAAGGGCTATATAAGGGTAAAGCTTATTATCAACGATTATACGAAAATGTTCGTTCACTTTGGTTTGGGCATAAAAAGTGAACCCATCAATGCATTGTTTCAATTAATGCAGGGCGGACCATTATCATTTAGCTGCTCCACTTGCTAGCATTGGCATCATCGATAACCCCAAATGTAAATGTAACCAAGAGCAGGAAACGCTTGACCATGTTCTATGGCAGTGCAAGCTATATAATGAACAGAGGATAAAACTTATCCAAAATCTTTCTAGAGCAGGATTTCAATTGTTGCTTAATAACTGAAGCGAATATTAAGGCGTGCGTATATATGATAGCCTTTCTAAGTCTTCGTTTCTTTATAATGCTACTAACGTCCTCGTTATACCATACAATATACTCTGTACTATGCATTATGTCGTAATAAATCTCATAAGAGCTTTCCTAATAAAAAAATTAAAAAAAAAAATCATAGCTCGAACCGTAGTCGTGCCAAGTGACGCTGGACGATATAAATACGTGCACCGTTCGCCATATAGGCAATCGGTGAAAATGAGACGTCAAACGGCGTTAGAAGCATGTCGGCGTGGCGCATTGTCACCCCTTGTGTTGAGAGAGCCGCAAATAAGATTTGCCTCGATATATTTATCATCCGTAGGAGGGGGTGAGGGGGGCGAATAGGACAATCGTGCTGTTGCATTCACGTCGAAGGATTCTTTCGGTTTCGTATCGTCGAGGACCGTTCGTGGTACGAGTCACGAGGAAGTAGGATGGTATTAGGGGCGACGGAACGGCCTGGTACCTTTTTTGATGTTTCGGGCCGAAGGGTCACTGGTCCAAAAATTTTGTCGAGTAACGCAGGAATTATTATCTGGGGAACGGCCGCGGGACAGGGATGCTGGAAAGAAAAGAAAATGGTCGTTAGGCGCGCGCGCGAAATATGAGAAATGATCTGTCGACGTTCTCCCCGTGTTCCGTGAAAAAGCCAGCCGCGAGTTCAAAGAAGCCGTGGAATCGGAAAAGATTGAGAACCACGCCATTAGATGCACCGTGATCGAGCGGATTCTCCTGCGCCGCCGTCGGATTTCAAGCCACGGAGAGGATTCCATCCCCGAGAGACGTTTGCTTTTCGCTTAGCGTTTTATGAAAGTATGCAACAGCTCCGAACGTTAATCGCGAAGAAACGAAATTCTGGTGTACTCGGACGATCGTGTTTCTAGATACAGTCGGAATTTCTACATCGATTTTTACGATTAACTTCGAATCGAACGTATCTAGATTTCGGTAAAAGTCACTGGTTTTGGGAAACGTTATTTTCTGTGGTAAAGTCGTGTTACTTTGATTAGGAGTAAATCAAAACTTTTCGAATGTTATTTTTCTCTCTAGGAAACTGCATAATCAATGTTTACGATTACAACGACGATTTAGAAATCTTTCTATCCGATTTCTGTCTGAGAAGGTAGATACAATTTGTATAGTTTTCTTCTATATTTATGTAACATATTTAAACTTTACTGAGGCAATGAACAAATTTTCTACAATCCTTTAAAATCAATTCGATTGTCGCCACATTCGTTCTGTTCAATTAATTTCGCAACTCTGATTATGAATATCACATTTCAGTTCTGATATTTAAGGGGTCATGATTAGTTAGAAATTTTCAAAAAATCGATTTTTTACTTTCTACATTTTCTTTAAGTACAACATCTCGAGAATATTCTGCGCAAGTTTCAAGGCAATTCGATTAAAAATGACAGAGTTACTGGCGTTAAGAAATGAACATTTTGTATAAGTGGTAAGCTTGACTTGAAACTTTAAACGCGTTTTTCTCGAAACTACATTTTTCAAATTGATGATCAATATTTCTCGAAAACTACTGTGTCGATTTACATGAAGCCTTTCGCGCCTTATTTCAAATCAGAAAAACTTGTCCTTGAACGAAGGATTCTTTTGTTCGTTCCATACTTTTTTTTTAATTGACTAAAAACGAGTGATTTTTTAGGTGTAAATCGCACTTTTTCAGGAAAACGTCCGCTATTTTGTTCCTAATCAATATTTCGAAAAACGCCACGTTCAAGGACAAGATTGGTTCTTCCATCACATAAATCTTACTGAATTTTTAATTTCAGATGAACCGTTACGAAGTTACAGTAATCACGGCAGACCACTTTTTGTGCAGAGACATCCGGGAGATCGCTCACCATTTATTTACTAATAAATAGTTTTAAATAAAAAAATTACCTTATAATCTAGAAACTGCAATCATTGAAACACAAACACATTTTTTGAAGAAGGTTTTATAGTTTTCGAGAAAAAAATTCCTAAAGAACACTCTTCTTTCGGCCTTCTGACTGAGCATGACCCCTTAAGACAACCATAAAATAAGTAGTTGAGTATTTCTTGCGCTTTTTACAGAGTTAACGAAAGCTTTATACTTTCTTCGGTGGAGTGGGGTTGGGGGTAGGACGGAGTGCTCGGTATTCCCAAATTAAAGGCGGCCATTATCGCGCGGTCGGCCCCGCATTTGGACCAGACAATGGCCGCCACTACTAGTTAATGTAATAGCCATTCCGAAGGTGCGATCTTCCTTTCTGAAGGTACCGCACTGACGACCAGCAAAAGAACCAAAAGCCTCTTCTTCTTTTGTCGACCCGTCTGTCGTTCAGTTTGACCGACCTGTCCGCATCCGAACAGTCTTCGAAGAGTTATTATTTTATGAGATTGTTATCTCTAATAACATCGTACCGCGGGGGAGAAAGGAGGGAAGATGATTTCATCTGTCGAAATATCCGAGGTCCGTCTTAAATTATTTTTTCTTTGCTCTTTAAGGGCCACCCTAATTAGAGAGAAGGCAATGTTCACGAAAATTTCGCTCGAGATTCAACGACATTCTCAATTCCGGAATAACAATTACTGTCAAGATATCTAACGGAATTCTCAATTTTTTTCCAAAGTATGAATTCGTGCCTCTAAAAGAACAGAAGAGTCGGCAACATATCGCGAAATTTTTCGAATTTTATGTGTTAGTTAACATGTTGAATTCCGAGACTATTAATATTGGAACATAAACCGGTAAACCTCCACAAAATAAATGTCAGAAGTATAATAACAATTAAATAATTTTATGTAGCATTTTATTCTTATACACCCTGTATAACGAAGATTTCACTTTGGCATTGTGGATGAAACTTATAAAAAATCCTCCGTCATTCGTCGTGTTAAATTCTTATTCGGTATTGCTTGGTATTGAATTTATAATAGTCAAGGGTTTAAAGAAAAAAAAGAAATACAGAAATTTCTGCTTCAGTGCTGTGCATTGCGAATAACGCGTTGCGTGGTTGGAGAGTGACGGAGAAGCAAACAGTCCTGGCCAGGTCGCGCTCGGAGCGTGCGTAAGGGATGAAGTAGGGTAGAAACGGGGACGCGCGATTGGCCGTGGGGCGGGAACATCGGGGGGTTGTTCAGACCAGCAGGTGGATCTTCAACAACACCCCTTTGTCCCTCAATTAGTTACGTTTTTTCCTTTCCTGTCCCTCCTCCAAAATTTTACCTGTCCGTCGGCCACAGTCAGTTCTCAAGTGCTGCGCCCCGAGATGGACAGTTTTAGTCGAGTCACAGTGAATCCTGTTTAGTCGAATCATCCTGGAATGATTTTTATTCGGAATTTTTCGAAGCCTACGTAGAACAGATTTTCGGTAGACATTTCGTGTTTTTAAATCAATATCGTTGTACACGATCGAGAGTGAGCATTCTAGTGTGTCGGTAACATATGACTTTACGTGCAGTTCAGTGACATTCGAGTGCGACACTTTGGCATGGATACTGTTGAACTAAATCTTCGAAACGGAGTTTTCTGACCTGATGTGAGCATAAAAAGTATACATACAAGCAATTAAGAATACTAAGATAGTCTTTTTGAAAGGAATCAAAATTTGGTATTCGATACGAAAAGTGTTAGTTTTTAATTCACCTACATAATACCACGAACTTACCTCTGTTTCTATTTACAAATTATGATATTCATATCTAAATATATATTGATAATTGCGTGCGACAGACAATGGTCTGTTAAAATGGTAGAATGTAATAGCTGAAATTAAAGAACATAGCCCAGAGTGTACCATACAATCCTACGAACAATTAAATGGTCTCAAGTGATCCTCAAGAATCGAGCTTGTACACGCGAACCTGTTTACGCTTACTTATGTTTCATCAACTGTTAATTTGATCGCGTGCATTCTCTCCGCGAGTTATACAACGAAAGTCGTCTATTAGTCCGGAAAGGTTGAGATATGAGTAATTCCATTTTTCACGTTGAACAGCGGGTTCGCCTTCGTATTTTTTCTTTTTTTTGCAAATACCTGGAGATTTCATTACATCGGCGCGTGTGTGTTACAGGCGAGTATATTCTCAGTTCCGGGAAACAAGGAGGGAGCTCAAGTACCGCGGCCGACGAAGACGATCAACTTCTACGAGACGCGTCGCTGGATTTAGAGAATCACCCCTTGGTCGGATTAACCGATGATGCTTTGGGATTAACCGACACCTTAGAGCTCGAGAATGATTTTCCTTCGGACTTACTCGGAGGCGGTCTCTTAGGAAGTACCAGTGTCGAAGGTCTCCTCAATAACGACACTCTCGGACTTCCCGACGGATTCAATCTTGAGGAAGCGCTACAACTTGTTGGCCTCGATGAGGCTCAAACAGAGGTACGTTTCACGTTTAACAGTATTTTCCGTGCTAACACCATCCAGTTTCGGTTTTCAAATAACACCGATCAATAGATTCCGGATGTTTATGCAAATGCATATTTTTATAGAAAACGGATAGAGCAATAGGATCTGAACAGAAATATGTTTTGTGATTAGAGAATTCTGAAAATATATTTTTTATTTTGCACTTTTTCCATAATGCATATGTTTTTATGTTTTATAACTTATTGCATATGTTATTTGCCCTGTATATATATTTCGTATTCTTAAAAAAAAAAGTTTCTCGACAAATCAATTTAGTCCATCAGGAAACTATCGCACTATAACTGTAGATTATTATTAAATGTTGATAACGTAAACATATACATCGTGGTAATTATAGACAAACATCAAAACATACTTGTATAGACTTCTATATAACACATAACTCTTAACAGCTCAATATCTCGAAAACTATGCCATCGATTTTAAAGTTCTTAGTCTTAAATTGCATGATTCTGAAGGGCCTTTCTAACTACATAAACGTGAAGTAGTTCCCCCTTCCCCTTTGAGGAGGGGTACCTTTGTAATTTTAAATGGAACCCCCTATAAAACGTTACATATTTAGATTCTACAGGAAAGAACAAATACATTTTGTCTGAAATATTTTTTTGTCAGATATTTCCATGATGAGATATAACAGTTTGAAGTTTCGACTTGTAGGTACTTACTAGAAGCGCTCGGAAATTGCGTTATTGAGTTATACGCGCTTGAGTCCTTTGCTTATTCGTGAAGAAATAAAATGTTCTTTAAATTAAATGTTCAAAATGTCCACCACGGGCATGTAAACATTTATTTACTCGAAACATCAAAGTTGTTCTAACATTTTTTAACATTTCGGGAGTCACTGAAGCGTCACGTATTCTTTGTTTCGTATTCTCTTTTGTTGAACTCGAAATTTTTAAATTCCTCTGCATAAAAAACTACGACATTCTTTGCTCCGTGTTTAATCTCGTATCGTCGTGAAGGCCACCCGAATGTAACACCATATGTTGACTGCATCTCGCACCTCTTATTTTATAAAGACAATGGTACCCGGTATGACCCGAAAACCCGGTTTTACCGTACTTTCCCTTAATCATCTTAAAGCTCTCCTTGAATCATGTTACATTAGCCAAAAAATTTGACGATTTTACAGCTAACAGTAGAATAATCTAAGCTGATCAGTAGACTACGGATTTTTATGCAAAATCACATTTTAGAAGGTTTTTCATAAAGACAAAAGTAGGAAGTTCTTTCTTCCTTTAAGTACCTTATTGGGTTGAAAAGAAAATAGAAAACTCGTTGCACCTGACGAAAGTTTTGTCCTTCATTGTATTTCACAGAGACTTATAGATTATAAATGCATAAAATCCGCAGTCTACTGATTATGTATCGTGGTCCACCCTGAATTTGTAAATTCGTAGAGTTGCTGCAATTTAGGATAGCTTTTATATTATTATTTCCATACCACAGTCCTTCACAAATGAAACAAAGATATATTCGATGCATATTTTGGAGAATTAGTCGATAAAGATACAAATTTGCTGAAGCTTTGCAGTCTAATTATTTTCATTGTTTATATAATTGTAATCATTATTTAATATTTTTGCTTTCTGTAACCAAATTGGGCATACACCGTAGGAGTAGAATAAGAAATTAAACATCAGAGTAATAAATGATTCTATTTGTCTTAAGAAGAGACAACTAAATGAACTGTTGTCAGACAGGTGTTCGTTCGTAAGAGAAAATAAGGCGGGAACTGGTCATGATTTTTCGTGAACACTTGTCATTAACGAGACTGTGACGTGACATGGATGATCGTAATGCAAGGCATACTTACGTAGGAAAAGAAGCCGGAAGTGAAGAAGAAGAAAGACGACATTGCCGAAGGGCCTACAAGTGCAAAGGGCGAGACGGCCGTTACTACCTCAAGCAACGTCGAGGTCGCGAAGTCATCCAGGTGCGAGGATCCTGAGACTGGCGACATGATTCACACACCACAATTTCATCATCCCCATCATCCGCACCATCGTTCCTTCCAGGTACGTACCATATTTGTTCTGTTGTCCTTAGATGATCACCGTCGCGACACACAGTGGGGTATTTGGCCAGAAAAGCTGGCCAAAACCCCAAATTTTATCTTTGTTCAAAATGAATGAAACTTTGTCCCTATGTTCCTAAGAATGAATAAAGGTAAACTGCTATCTTGGTTTTTCGAAAATAGCAGTGTTTAGCAACAAATTGAGGCTTTAAAGTCAACAATTTTTGTGCTCGAAGGAAATGCCAAGAAACCTAGACTAAGAAAGTGATTTATTACAAGTGTAGTGTTAAGGAAATGCAATAATAACATATGTAGGATATAGAGGAAGGTATGTAGAGTAATTTAGCACCTTGTTTCCTTCATTTTTTTGTGTGGTTTTGATAAAATAACAATTTGAAAACAGTGTTTTTTTTTCGTAAAATCAAGTATAAAACATTGAATTACTATTTTACACCCCAAAGCACCCCTTTACTTTTAATATATTTTTATCCTTGGACATTGCTTTATATATTTCTTGAAAAATTAGTTGCTAAGAGGTGCTAAAACTACAGTTCTGTTCAAAAGTATCTCCTCACTTGTGCACTAGTGAAAAATTATTGAGATTCAATGTTCCATAACTTTGTTAATATTCGTCGGAATTTGTTTAAACGAAAGGCAAATTAAAGCTTAAACCTTCTACTTTTTTATTATTTCGTTCGATTTTATTTAACTCGGTTCCCCACAGGTAAAATCTTCCATTATAAAGAGAGCCTTCAAATTGTAAAATTTTGTTCATATTTGAGAACGGATGTTCCTCATAGACAACAGTGTTCGGAATTTTGCATGTATTTCAGAAATAATGATTCTTTGCCTTCAAAACAAGCCAAACTGCATCTACAACGGAAGTTTTTTAACGAAGTTATAGTCATTTACAGAAACGCAGGCCATTGAACGGTGCCATGCACGAAAGACATGAAACCATAAAGAGGCAGGCGTTTCTGTAAATGGCCATAACTTCGTTAAAAAACATCCGTTTTGGATGCAGTTTAGCTTGTTATAAAGGCAAAGGATCATACGATGGGCGTATATTGTATGATTGATCTGATGATGGGGTAATTGAGGTATGGATGATAGATCGATGAAGGACAGACATATCATAAGCAAGAAATACTGTCTGATGAAGAATCTTGCACAGTATTTTCTGACGAAAATTAATTCTATTATATATTGCAAATAAAAAATATTCTTAAAATATATATTATTTTATATATTGTATACCATAAATCAGAATGTTTATGATCGTAGATACAATTGTTTCTGTAAATGGCCATAACTTCGTTAAAAAACATCCGTTTTGGATGCAGTTTAGCTTGTTATAAAGGCAAAGGATCATACGATGGGCGTATATTGTATGATTGATCTGATGATGGGGTAATTGAGGTATGGATGATAGATCGATGAAGGACAGACATATCATAAGCAAGAAATACTGTCTGATGAAGAATCTTGCACAGTATTTTCTGACGAAAATTCATTCTATTATATATTGCAAATAAAAAATATTCTTAAAATATATATTATTTTATATATTGTATACCATAAATCAGAATGTTTATGATCGTAGATACAATCGACCTGCGTGCATCCACCGCTGTCAGTTGATTGTTAACCTATTAAGTAAATTTCGTCTGTCAGTTCCTGACGATTGAAGTTTTTAGTATATTATTAATTTTATTAGGACTACGGTTCGTTGATAACCTTCTATTATGTGTATATATTGTACCATATGTATATGTATACATATCTTACCGTACACAAAACATTTGAAAAATATAGGTTTCCTTTAAAAGGCTGCATCTTTGTTAAACAATATAGATCTTCGATGAGTTTTGGTTTATTTTAAAGACAAATAATCATAATTTCCGGTGGTATATATCAAAATTGCAAAAAAAATATTGTTTACACTCCGTAGCACTTGACAAACATCAAGGAAAAGTACAGTTTGGCACACTCCTATTCAAGGGTGAATTTTACCTTCTAGACAACCATTTTAGTAAAATTTATTTAAAGAACCAAAAACTAGAAAGTTCAAACTTTAAAATGGTTTTTGTTTCATCAACTTTGGATGAATAGTAACAAAGTTATGAGATTTTGAAGATTGAGTAAATTTTAAAATAGTTTTGGCCAGCTTTTCGGGTCAAAAATTTTCTAAAAATTTTAATCACGTTTAATAGAGTTTTTTATTTTATTGTTCACACAAAGCATTGCTTCAGAGAGCCTTATCATAATAAATGTCTGTTTATTTGCTGTCTCTCTAAATTAGTTTATAAAAATTTAAACCCTCAGCGAAGATCACAATCTACCTACAACATACACGTTATATATTTTCTAAACGTTCAAATCCGGTTTAAAATATTAAAATACATTCATGTGGTATAAATTTGTTTATACTATTCAATAATTCATTTTTTGTATTAAATGCTGTATACATGTCAACGCAAAAAGAACAGCAATTTATAATGTAAATATTAATCAGTTTTAGTTGGGAAAATTACAAAGCAAATTGTTTTATTAGAAATATCTTGTTCGAAACGAGTTGTTTTCATAACATGACAGTATAACAATTTTCGTTTCATTAAAAGCATAATAGGGAAATGTTAAAATAGGTTCTCATCACAATTCGGTTCTTAATTTCTCAGTAGTAATTTAAAATAAAGTTGCCGTAGTATTGATAGTAGATAATTAAACAACTCTGGAAGCACATAACTTTGTGGGAATAATAATTTTGTAAACAATTATTTAAAAAGTTCTATTGTGTATAACGAAAATCGGTTTTTTATCAAGTTTTATTATATAAGTAAAAACATTTTGTGTGGTTTTATAATAACGATGATGCGACCGTTCATACAGAAAGTTTGGTATTTGTACAGTTATGTGTTGGTAGTGTTGGTACCTATGTATTTCCGATTTAACACGACAGTTAAAGTGATCTTCTTCTTAAAAAGTTTTTTCCCCTCTGAAACTAGTTTTCAACAGACGATAGTTGTATGTCATCGTACAAGGAAATAGCTCGGTTATTGCAGATAGTCATAAATTCAACCATTTCTGGTTTTCTTTATGTAGTTTTTGTTTTTTTAAAAGTGAGCACTAGAAGGTATTCGAAAATATTGCACTACAGACAGAATGGTTTTGTAATAAAATTCAAGAGTCTGTTTTATATGTAACTCCTTAAACGTGTTAATGTAAACAATTAAATTTAATATTACAAATATAGTAGCACAAAAAAACTAGACAAATTTGACACGTCTGTTGATTTCAAAGTAACTATTTTAGTTTTTAAGTTTAGGTTTGAAGACATTTTCAGGAGTGCAAAATTTCGTTTTTACCGTCTAAACTACTTAACTTTAATTATACATACAACGTTTCGATTAAAGCTATAGGAATTTAGTTTTAAAAAATGAATATCTCTTCATCTTTTGAACGTATTTGATTTCAAAGGTCTAGTTAACTGATTCTGTCTATGTAGTTATTATAAAGTTATTTAAGTTAGAAAGTTAGAATTGTAAAATTACTGTTTCGCATATACTGTCTACCTAGTTAAACCTGAATAATTCCTCAACTACCATGTTTCTCTAAACCTTTCGCTGCTACTTATTGGCGCCTATAAGCATTTCTAAATTTCGTTCAGAATATGCTGTTCGTCCCTATAGAAGCTCAACCGATATCGTTCACTAACAAATGTTACTTGAAGGATTCGCAATCATTATCTTGAAATTTTCTGCGAAAAATTTAATCATAAATCTTACGGAATTTTTAATTTCAAATAAACCGTTACGAAGTTACTTTTTGTGAAGAGACATTCGGGAGATCGCTCACCATTTATTTACTAATAAATATTTTTAAATAAAAAAATTACCTTATAATCTATAAACTGCAATCTTTGAAACACAAACACATTTTTTGAAAAAGGTCTCATAGTTTTCGAGAAAAAAATTCCCAAAGAACACACTTTTTTCGGCCTCCTGACTGAACATGACCCCTTAAGTTCAACTGTCTGCCCTTTTGATGAATCTTTTTATGTAATAAAGTTATACTCTAACATTTCGGTAATGTATACTACCAATGACTACAGATAGGACTTCTCAGGCGGTATGTTATTCTCAAAATAGAAATTCATTTCGAATGAGGCAGTAGCCAACGACTTGTACCATTTTAACAAAAAAGAGTAGAGGAATGAATCTATGCTCCGGAGCTTAGTTTCAACATCACTGGTGTACAGTTTATTAATTTGGCCAACCAATAGTGGGACCACAGCGCACATGCACGAACCATGTGACCGACTCTATTATATCATATTGTGTTATTAATTATAACGGCTTATAACGAATAACAGTTAATGAAAATTTTACCATTTTTGCCAAAAAAACCAAAAAAAAAAAAAACCATTTCAAATTAAACCATTTCTACCAACCATTTTTGTTTGTCGATCCACTTCTACTGGCCTCTTTTACTGGTTCCAAACTTGATTGGTTATAAACTGTAACAACAAAAGTCGTATACTTTCCTTCAGACACAAATAGAAGCAAATGAGTGCCTGCCATGTTTACTTTGTTGTATTCATTATCGAAAGTAAAATTAAAATTTGCTCATTGCACGTCATGTTATTGCCACTCGCTATTATAATATGTGTAGGGGTGGGAGATAATAAGAGGGAGATGTTGAATACCTTTACGAAATTCTACATACACTACTGCATAAGTATTGACAGACACTTGATCTGTATAAAAAAAAATATATTGTTTCATAAAAATGATGTATTTTAGGCCATTTTTATTACTTCATAATAGCATTGTCGATCGAGCTTTAATATTCCCTAAACAATATTTGCTTAGGACCTGATGCTTAATGCCTTTTAATATTTATGTACTGCGTATTTAATAAGCGGTAGTGTACACAACGAAATATATACATGTTTACTCCAAGCTAATATACTGTACCGAGCATAAGTATTTGGATACTTAC